AGAAAATAATTTAAAGAACAAGTGGTTCATATTAGTAGACATGGACAATTTTGTATAGATTTGTCTTAAATTTAAGTATGAAGTTAGTTTTGCAAATTAATATATGTTCAATATTTTTGTTCAGATTTGTTCAACTTGTTCTTGATTCATTTTAAATTCATGCTATATATGGAGAAAAGACAAGTTCATTTCGTCCACAAATTCTCACTTTTAAGTGTTTGTTTCATGTTATTTTAATTTTCTAGAGTAGAGGTTAGACTTTATATAGAAGTAATGCCTCTTTAATTTCAAAAATAATATTACATGCATAGCTTGCATTGAGTTAAAATTCATTGACTGGGTGAAAAACTATTACGGAACATGTTAATGTAAAAGTGTGAAAAACTATTGCGGAACATGTTAATGTAAAAGTATTATTTTGATTATCAGTAGTATTGATGATGTATGGAAGGCTATGTTGAAAATTTCGGTGTGATAATCTTGGATATCTTCGAGGAATCGTGTTCGTATATTTTCTGAACAAAGTATTTCGACCCTATTATTTGTCTGGGTTCACGAAATCTTTGTGGGGATAATTCTTTGAAGAACAATTTGTTTCTGGCAATAGAAAACAAATCAAGAATGTAGAGAGAATATGAATTTTGTTCAATGTGTAAAACTGATGCCTAATGACTCCTTATATAGGAGATTAAATAACAGAAAACGAAAAGGGACATTTGTTCAAAAAATTTGAACGAGTTCATCTTTTCAAATTTAATTTCGAACGGGTTCAAAACTTACCAGAAAACTTTCAGAAAATTTAATTTCTGCCCCTTGGAACCCCACGGGGCGCTGCCCCGCACCCCGCCAGAGGCTCTGCCCCTTAGAACCCTTTTTCAATTATTCGCATTCAATTGTACGTTGGCTCGACGAGCGTGCACTTCGCACTACCCTAACTCGTTTCCAAGTTTAACGTATAATTGCATCGGCCTACAGTAAATCACATTACTACTAAAATACATTGATGATACTAAAATCACCAACATGCTATATCAGCAGCAAGTAGAATTTCATCAAATTTGAGTAAAGAAGAATTAGGGGTGTGCAAAATAACCAATAACCATGAATCAAATTTCTATCTAAATTAATTTAAATTTTAAAATTCAGTCCAAATTTATATTTTAAATTTGGTGGCCCATTTATCAAATTAAAAAAAAACGGTAACCATTTGTTCCAAACTAGTTTGAGATATGGTAACCATTTTTCAATAAGCTTCAGAAACAAAAGCAAAATAGTTTGGGAAAATCAAGATCAACACAAATTTCAGAAACCCTAATCTTCAAAATCCAAATTTTATTCATCTCTTTCTTCTTCATCATTCTTGAAATTTCAAACCTTAATCTCATTTGTATCTTAATTCTCTAAATCACAATCATGGGTTTATCGAAATAGTTCTGCGACGGAGGAAGTTGCGGACGGACGTTAAGTAACGGCGGAGGACGGTTAGTGATATGAGGTAACAGTGGATGACAAATACGTTGAAGACGGGAGCTTTGTTGTTTGGGTTGCTGAATAGGCGGAGGTGTTGAGATACAGTCGTGGTCGTGCGCAGGTGAGCCCGTTAGTTTTTGAACATTCTCTATACTGCTATAATTTTAAACTCCCAATTGTTATGTTTGCATATCAGATGTTCGATTTATTTTCATTAAGCTATTTAGCAGAGACAATACCATACCCCATGGTTGGGTCCTGATTGTAAAACTACTTCCAAATTATTTGTGTTACATAATTCATTACCATAAGTTAATTTTACAAAATAATAGTTCAAATTATGTTAGTTATAATAAGCTTATGCATTGAGAACATTTATCATGTAAAAGATTGATGGAAAAATAACTCAAAGTTAGTATTGTTAATTGAAATTTAGAATACTACTGAACAGTGTCGTAGAAAAATGGTAATACGACATTCCGCCAAATTTTATGGATATTATACTCTCCATATTGTTGAAAGTATATTTCCCTTCCTTCTACAAAATGAAGAAAACAAACTTAGTGGACACAACTCAACTGTAAAGGAAATGCAATGTATTGTTATAACAACTGATTGGGAAATGCAATGAATGTTCATATAATGCTTGCAAATTTGTGTGCTTATATTTTTTAACTTGAATTTAATGAATTATAATCAACATGACAGTTCATTTTGAAAAATTGATTTTAAAACTAGTTTTTTTTTATAAAATTGGTTTTAAAACTGATTTTTTTTTTAAAAAATAAAAAAATTGATTTTAAGAGAAACTGACTTAAAACTGGTTTTTAAAAAAACTATTTTTTTTTTTAAAATCGATTTGAAATTGAACCAATCCACTTGTAAACCGGTTTTAAAAAATAAACTGATTTTATATAAACGGTTTTAAGATCCAAACCAAACCATTTGATTTGGTTTATAATCCATACACACCCCTAAAAAGAATAAATATGAAAGTTAAAACGAAAAAAATATGGCAGTTAAATCAAAAGGCTGTAACAGAAACTAATAATTAGATGATAGGGAAGAAGACAAATAAAGATCATCTTAATATGCATATTAAAATCAAAATATTCAATAAAAGCCACAAAGCAAATCAATAAGGGTATCTTGAACCCTTCCAAGTTGCAAGTTTGCTTCTAACAATAATGCAACTGTATGTCTAAACACACCCTGTAAACATGAAAGATGAAATCACATCATTTATGCTCTTTATCTTGTTTAGGCTGATTCAATCTATTTAGCTCAAGTGGTTAACATAATCTTCAAGATGTTTTCTTTTTCTTTTTCTTTTTTTCATGTTGGGAGATCAAAGCTTGTGGTGCACTGCAGGAATAAGTTTTCACCAATAAAATGCCATGCCACATGTACAAATGATTTGATACATTCTGAGGCAAGACATAGGACACTCCCTAAACTTATAACATCACTTTTTTATGTATGCTTTTGGGATAGAGAATTTGTCCTTATGCAAGAATGATTTGAAACCACTCAATTAATGGCTTTCACCTGGTATATTTGCATGGCTTATAGATTGTAAAGTTTTTTGAACATTAACTTCATGACTTTTGACAACCATGTTTCACGAAATAGTTCAATTGTTCTTTCTTTCCTGTCATATTTGTCTTTTTGTTCCTATTACAAGTAATTCTGGGAGGTAAACGACTATTGTGGTTATATCAATTATTCATTTGGAAAATTCAACCAGAAAACCAACATTATATAAGATGCACTAATGAGTTTTCGTTTTCAGACAGAATGGCACAATCCATGATTTATGAACAAATCATACATTTTTTCTTTAAATTTGAACTATCACCTCAAATGTAAGCTAACCACACACTTAGATATTCAATCTGAGGTACTATAGAAATTCTTAGTTGATGATATGTGTATGCATGTTAGTCATGCACTTATTTCTTCAATCATTTTTAACATAGTTGAACTGCTTTTTTATGTGTAACACTTCTATATATTTTTGACATTAGGTCGTTATGGTGAGTTGCTAAGAATGCTTCATTAATAAAATTAGAAATGTAATAACATTTCATATCAGAACATTAAACAACACAATCCTCCACCTTCCACCTCCTACTTTAAAAGTGTATTGGGATGTGAAAATAAGACTGCAAACTCAATACCAAACATATGCTAAAATATTCTACTTTAAGAGTACACTAAAAGCACATTTTTCTCTTTTGGCTGTAACTTGTTTAGTTTCACTGTTGGGGAATTCAAAGAAAATTTCATTGGTTTACTTGCATCAAAGCCAAACACAGATATTCAAGGTGTAGTACTAATAAATGCAATGCGTAATACATTTTCTAGATATGTTTGACTCATTGGCATAAGTATAACTTTTTCATGTGGTAGCCAAAGCAATGTGAATTCGGTAATCAATCTCATAACCAAAACCTGATTTTGATTTTTTAAGAATCCTTTCTAATATCATGATATAAAACAACCTCTTTTATGATACCAGAGCATGAATTGATGATCACACAAAATGGTGAATCCTGTCATTGCAACAATAAGAAAAATGTATGTTTTCTATCTACTTATGTTTGAAGTTGTCTATTTAAGGAAACCCGTTTCAAAACCTCCATCAAAGCATAGCTTCAGCTTGACATGACAACAAACTGAATATCATAATCATATATAGTGAAAATACTATACTTTTAAAGAAAACAAAACATTCATATTATTAGTAACTACCATATACGAAGACCAAACAGAGACAAAATATAGACAGTTGCAGAAGTGCAAAGAGAACTTAAATTAGAGGTATAACTTCTATATAAACCCAAACTCTACTCTAGAAAAATCAAATAGGACTATTTGCTAACAACCTTGGATTGTAATTTGTAAATGACTTTTTCTTTCCGGTTATGATGCAACAACCTTGGCATAGAGGCTTCGACATGCATTTGGGCCATGTTGTAGTTGTAATTTCTCCGTACATAGCATGAACCCAAAATGAAACAAGAACCTGTTGAAAAAATCTGAACAAGAGTATTCAATATATATTAATTTGCAAAAGTAACTTCATACTTCAATTTAGAACAGATCTATAAAAAACTGTCAAAGTCTATTGATATAAACCACTTGCTCTTTGAATAGTTTCCTGCTTTTAGCTTTCAATTTCACTTTCATTCAGCTTTAAGTGAACTTTCCTTGCATTTCAAATTTATTAATGTATTATGCTCCCATGCTGAAGATTATATCATGCTTAAGTTTTGTTTAAAAGTTTGTCAGGACAAACCAAATAAAGAATATTTCAGACAAAATGAGTTTTCTTTTGAGAGAATTTCCTAAAGAAAATTCATCTTTTAACATAAAACAAATAAAAGAGTGAAATTAATGCATTTAACTCAAAAGTTGTTAAACAATTATACACAATCACTCAACAATACAATCAAAATTGTCATGAGAAAATAATTACACAAGTAAATCAATTTAAGACAAATAAATTGTGTTAGAAGAACTTACATTCAACAATGGGATACCAAGCTTTCAACGTAATTCAAGCAAGTGCACCACCAAGGGCCAAGGGCTAGTGTATTATCGCTCCAGCTATAGAGAATTGTTACTTGTTTATATTCGTGTGCCAATAATAGTGTATCATTCTTCTCTGAAAGGCATAGTGGCACTAAAAAAGATACTAAATCTTCAAATGGATCTAATAGAAGATTATGATAACTAATTTTAAGGAATTGGGTCCAAGAATCTTCCACTCCAAATTCCTTCATTAGCCATATAACAAAATGAGTTTGTTTGAAATCATGACAAAAACAAAGACATTCTTTTAACACAGTTAGATTAGGTGCATGAACAGATGGCAGTAGATCAAAACCCGGAGGAGTCGGATACTGAGTATGTGACTCGGACCCCAAATCAAATGAAATAATCACAAACTGTGGATATATAATTGAGACTCCGTGACTTGCCAACCAATTAACACTACCACTCAGATACACGGGGTTCATCGAGCAATTACGAGCCACGGGAGGATTTTCAATATTTCTCCAGGCATTATCTTGCAAGCTGAACACTCGTACATTGGTGTGCATTAAAGCCAACACCTTGTATGCGTTGTTTGATTTATCAGAACCGAACGTGAAACGAGGAGGGATAGTTTCGTCATTCAAAAGATAACCTAATCTTTGTGACATTGTCCCGGTGGCCGGGTTCCAGAAGCGAAACCAGCTCTCAATATCAATACCTCCATTAACGCGAGAATAGCCAACCAAACATAGCAATCCATTGCAGGAACCAACTAGCTGTTCGCCTTCGTCAATCAATTCATAGTTGGGAAGGGTGAAGAAGATTGGAGGATTTTCGAATAAACGAATAACTGTGAAGGATACGGAATTAGAACCTGATTTATATACAACCGTGAAATCTGCCTTTGGTGAAGATCGATGAAGGTGTAATTTGACGAAGGTGGAATCGGAGATGAGAGACTTCCATGACTTGGACACACACCTCATTCGCATCAGTGTCTTTACGGTGAGACATGATAGCACTTCCTCAATCAGATCATCCGGGATGATTATCGGCGACAGCGACGCCGTGGGAGTACGCCGAGAGTGAGAAGAAGGGAGGAGATTCATTTGGGGTTTTGGAGAAGTGAAAACGTTAAACCCTAATAGCAGAATCTACAATTGTTTCAAATTAGGGGGAAAAAATGTCCTTTTTATAACCGCAAATTGTTTCATTATGGTCTTTTTTTCTTTCTGGTCTATGAAATTTATTGAAGACTTGTGAAAAAATATTATATTGTTTCAAATATGTCTATAAAAGACCACTAAAAAAATATTAAATGTTATGTAATCTGAATGGAAAAGTTGTACAATGTCAATGTGATTATCCATCACATTGCTATCGTTAATACCACTTTCTTTTTTTTCCTACTAGGATCTTATGTTATCCATTCATCGCGAATATTTTCAAATGAAAGAATAATATTTTTTGTTTTTTATTTTTTATTTTTCAACTTCAAATTAAATTCTATATAAAATAACATAAAGTTTTTTTTATGCAACCTATATTTCTCTTTGTATGAACGGAAATAATAATTCACCTCAATATTTTTAAATAAATAAAAATCAAGTTTTTTAAACAAATAAATAATTATTTAATATTATTTTAAAAAACTTCAATTTCGTTAACAATCACACAAGTGCAAGTTTTTCTTAAGTTTTTTTTGGGAGAATTTGGGTTGTTTTTTTTTTAGGTTTTTTCCAATCAAATAACAAATTTAGAAAAACATATAGACTTGTAAACTCGCTATAGACTCACGAGTTTGTGCGAAACTACTAGAGTCTATAAAAAGCGATTATAGATGCGATTCTACTCTTCTTCTTTTTTCATCATAAACTCATAAAATTGTTTGACAATCATGATTATGTGTATCCAATAGTCGATTATGTAGTTCAAAAATGGAAAGCTTTCAATTGTTTTGATACTAATCGACTACAAACCTTATGAATCCATTATGAGGTGAGATAATTGATTAGGCATAAACAATAATCCATTATCCAATATAATTATCACTCATAATTGATTATTTGGACTTGTAACCTATTCACTATATGCTAAAAACATTTTTTTGGTGATTTTATAAAAGAGAGGAGGTCCCCAAAAACATTTTGTTAGTGTGTGGTAGTTTTCTTAGTAACTTAAGAGTTACTCTACCATTTTACAATATGTTGGTCACTCAGACATAAGTAATGTGCAGGACTGACTAGAAGAGCTTTCACATTTTCTCTCTTTCACAATTTTGAAGTTTCAAGATCCTTGCTATATTATCTTTGACTTTACCACTTCATGAAATCTTAAATCTTCTCTCTGATAAGGTTTGAGATAGCTTCAAAATGAGCAACATCATCAGAGATAAGTGCAAACACATAGATCCTTGTATTGATCTTCAAATGCCATTATTTGGTCAACATATCAAGTACAATCACTTGATTAGTAACATATCAAATGCTATCACTTGATCAAAATATCAGATGATATCATATAAACCAATCACGCCTCAAATGACAAGACATACGAAGACTTCTCTTAAGAACATTATCAACATCATAACCAGATCTACAGACTTCATACCTGCAAGCACATAGATTCACAAATGTCAAAATGAAATATTTCATAACATTTTAAAGCTTTGTTCGTACTAATGAGAAATTTTAATTTTCTGTGTCCAGCATAATGACAAATGTCACAAACAACATTATGGTGTACGTTTACAAAGGAAAAACTATGATGTAAATTTGAAAGTCTACAATTGGATAAGTGTTCCAATCTGAAATGCCATAGAGCTTCTTTGGGAATGATGGTTTGAGATGTGGTTATGACAGTTAATGTTTCTTGTATGGTAAGGTAGTGCAATCCTTCAATTAACTCAGCCAAATCAATCATCATCGAAGTCTTCTTTTGTAGTAGCAAAGGTTTATCATGCTTAAAAATCACATTACAATTGTTATAAAGACAGAGTTTTGGTACAGATAACAAGTTCAAATGGAAGTCAGTCACAAATAGAACATCTTATATGATCAAACCAGGTGAAAATTGACAATTCCAACAATTTTAGCTAAAGAGACATGACCATTGGGTATTTTGATATGGATGGGAATTATGTTATGATATTGAATAAAATGACTTAAGGAAGAGCAAATATGGTCACTTGCACCCGAATCTACTATCCAAGATTCTAATGATGAGTGATTCATAGAAAATGACATGTGAGTGATACCTGATGTGATACGAGTGCCAGTATGATTGACTACACCCACCTTGCTAGAATTTTGTACCATGCCTACCAATTATTCATATCGTTCCCTTGTGAAGCCAAAAGAATAATTTTGTCTGGAGCTTTTGTAGTCATCAATGTAACATCCCAATTTTCATTAATTAATTATTTATGTTAATTAATTGATTTATTGAAATTATTGGATGATTATTTAAAGGAATTGGTAGATATTTTAAGAGAAGAAATATATTAGAGAGAAATAGAAGAGAAAGATATATAAGGAAAAATGGAAGGAAAAGGAAAGGATAGTAACATAAGAGAAAGAGAAAGAGAAGAGAAAGGAAGAGGAAGAGGGGAAAAGAGAAGGAAAAGAAGGAAAAGCTTGGAAAGCTCAAGAACAACTTATAGCTTTCGATTTAATCAAGGTAAGGGTGTGAAATATCATTATCTTATCAATGTTATGATTATGTATGTGTGTGTTTGGATTTGTTGGATGTTTTTCCCTTTTTTTCCATTCTAGGGCATAAATGGATTTAATCGATAGAAACCGATGTTTTTGCGGATGAAACTCGAAATAAATTGCGTAGTTTAGTCGGGTAATGTTTAGTCGTGATTATTGGATTTCGTTTGATTGAATTTATGAGTTTTGACATTTTTGGACAATTGGAGGTTAAGATTTTGGATGAAAATCGGAAGTCGTAAAATTTGCGCTTTATGATCCTAAATTGTTACTATATGATTGGTAATGATTAGTAGGTATTTAATCGGGAGAAAATAATTAAATCGGTCGGGTTTTTGGATGTTTTTGGCTCAAATCCGTAACTTTGTTTTTCCAAAATTTCAGGTGTTAACCGGTTAACGCTTTGGGTTAACCGATTAATGGTATAAAAAATGGCCTAAAAACTGATGTTTTTGGAGCCGTTAACCGGTTAACAATATTTGTTAACCGATTAACGGAGTGTTAATGCGCCAGGATTTTGAAAATCTGGGTGTGTTAACCGGTTAACGAAAAGGGTTAACCGGTTAACACTGTAAGTGTGAGAAAAATATTATTTTTCAAAACTTTGAAAATTCATAACTTCTTCACCGTTTATCGGATTTTGCCGTTCTTTATAACAAACTGAAGCTAATAATATGTTCTATAACTTGGTGAAAAGAAATATTATTTTTAGCCGATTTTACCGATTAATCGAGATTAATTATTTTAAGTAGTGAGGCTTAAATAATTAGAGCGTTTGGTTGCCGTTTGGCATAATTGTTGTGAATGCATATGGATTGTATGTGATAATATGAGATAAATGATGAATAAAATATGGAATATGCACTATGAATGTATTATGATTATATGAGATTAGATGAGATGAAAATGCATAAAAATATTATGAATATGTATGCATTTCAAGAAGTGTATGGAGTCATTTTGCATGTGAAGCATCATGATATACATTCCTGTGCTGATTGATTATGCGTAGAATTTGCTGAATGATTGTGTGCCAGTGTGGGGTGTGAGAAATCAAACCGTGTTCCCATGTGGGGTGTGAGCGATCAGATCATGTGCCCGTATGGGGTGTGAGTGATCGGATTGTGTGCCCGTGTGGGGTGCGAGCAATCCTAAAACATCGTGTGCCCATGTGGGGTGTGAGCGATGGGTGAACATCGTAGGCCCGGCGGGGAGTTACTTCGGTAACGAGTGATGGTTCCATTTGGTTCTTCAATTGAACCTGCTGAATGAGTCGGTACCGCATGTGCATCTGCATAGAGTCGTGAGTCGGTCTCTATGAGTTGCATTTATCATCATGAATTATGTATTGGTAAATAAACATAATTGTAAATGTTTATGTGGAGTGATGAATATGTTTATTGTGAATAAATATACCTTGTGATGTATATGAATGAATGGTGAATTATATATATGTTGTTATATATATATATATATATATATATATATATATATATATATATATATATATATATATATATATATATATATATATATATATATATATATATATATATATATATATATATATATATATATATATATATATATATATATATATATATATATATATATATATATGATTGAATTGTGATAAATGTTGTGATGGTATTGAATTGTGAATGTATATTGTTTGTATGCGATTGTATGTGAAGGATGCATGAGAATATATTGTGAATATATGTGCATTTCTTGGTAAATGTGATGATGATGTTGAAAATATGTATATGTGTAAGGCTCGTACTCATTGGGGTAGAATAACAAGATGTTGTTTCTAGTGGAGTAATCACTGGGGTAGAATAACAAGATGTTGTTCCTAGTGGAGTAATCACTGGGGTAGAATGACAAGATGTTGTTCCTAGTGAGGTATAGTGACATAGTTGTATACACTAGGGTAGAATGACTAGATGTCGTTCCTAGCGGAATAATCACTGGGGTAGAATAACCGAGATGTTGTTCCTGGTGGAGTATAAACGATGTACCCATAATCCCAAATAGGGATTGGTGAGAATTGATGAGTTTTATATGAGTCACATGGCATAGATATCATTGTTATATGAAAGTATGGTTGTGTGCGAATTGTTGAATTAAGAACTTTGGATATATGTATGATAAATATGCTTGGTGTTATATATATATATATATATATATATATATATATATATATATATATATATATATATATATATATATATATATATATATATATATATATATATATATATATATATATATATATATATATATATATATATATATATATATATATATATATATATATATATATATATATATATATATATATATATATATATATATATATATATATATATATATATATATATATATATATATAT